TGAGAGGTGAAGAAATTGCATTCTACGGGTTTGATCTACGATTATGAGGCTAGAATTAAATCCTTTGTGGCTCGTTGGTTCGGTCAGGGGGTCCAGTGCCCCATCTAATTGGCACGAGTACATAGGACACTGCGCAAGCAGTGGAACCACCCCTTTGTAGGGGCCAGAGTAAGCAGTTTGTCCTCATTTTCCTCTAGTCACGCTATGTGGAGTGCATGGTCCCAACATCAGTCGAATGGTGCATGTTTTAATCGCGTAACTAGATAACTACGTACTATTAATATAGTAATCAGTCAAATATTTATTCTTCAGTGCCGTAATTCACTTAAATGGCTACGTAATAATCTGATACTGGGAACCTGGACGTTGGCGGGAAAACGCTTTGGTGCAAGCTTCACGTCAGATATAACCATGAATACTTAACTAAATGCATTAACATACAATATTGTGCGTGTAGCGCAGTGGTCATTCTGACACTTCAGAGCAAGCACGACCCCAACCCAGGTCATGTTGTCTGTCGTAAGACCACCTGCAAGGCTCTTAGTCACTCCCGAAGCCTAACACCATGTACTCTTTGCACGTGGTTCTTGAAAGCAGTCAAACTGGGTACGGATTCTCCCAAAGGCGTCAGCGCGGGTGGGGGCAAGTAAAAGGCCCGACCTTGCGCTCGTACCTGAGATGCAAATTCTCTACGTGATCCCACATGTGAGACTTGCGCCCGAATGAGCGTATGCGCCTGCTATACGGGAGTTTCTCTTCGCCGACACAATATATGCACTGCGTTTCGCCCAGTACAAGGGGTACCTCCTCAACTTTGACATTAGGAACTGCAGGCGTGATGTCGGGAAAGCCTGGACGAATGCTGCCTTGGGACAGCGAGTTGGATGTGGATGGGGTGGGCCTACGGACCTCTCTGCGAGACGCTAGAAGAACCATCAGCTCAACGGCTCGGATCTTGCGATCTGTGGTGGCTTTTGTATCTAAATCTTGTCTAAAGTCACTCAGGACAGCTTGTAGTTTTGTTCGCTCCTCTAGTTGATGCTGCACACTTGGCTCGAGCTTGGCTCTTTCATCAAGTTCGGGATCTACTGTCATCTCGCTTAACCGTCTCTGCAACTCCTCGTGATGGAGGCGCCGACGACACTCCTCTTGGTAAACCTTCGTCATGTCATCCCGAAAAGCCTTTTCAGTGCTTCTGAGGTCTTTCCGCAGTTGTTGATACTCTTCCCTGACCGTCTCGGGGGCAGCCTTGATGAATCCGTAGTCTTGCCTCATGCGACGTGCCATTGCCTCAACCTGTTTCGCAAGACGGGCGACTTCGGGATCAGGAGGTAGCTTGGCCAACTCCGCTTTGGGGATCTGCTTTGGTACTTCAGGATTGCATTTGATGCTCACATGTGTGAAGGCTCGAGTCGGACCGTCGGCAGATGGGTCTCTTTCAAGGAATGCGTCGTGCGTATTAAATCCTTCCCGACTGTTTTGGTATGCATTTTGCGGGCACCCAGTGACCTGTGCATTTGCGTGGCCGTGCCGAAAGCAATACGACGTCCATTTCTCCTCTGACCCCAGGTCGGTACCTATTCTATCGAGGTAGAAAGCGTATGTCGAATACTTCATCGGCTCCGTTTTAGACTTGGCCCATCCGCTAGCGGTGCGGATTGACCGTCGAAACACAGGCGTTTTCAGCATACTGGATTTCCAGTAGACCCTGGTTGCACTTCTGCGCGTGTGAGATGAGAAGAGGCGAGAAGGTTTATTGAACCCTTCTACTCCAATAGCAT